GGAGCCGGAGCCGCACTGGTGTGGGTGCCTTCCGCTGCCCCTGCAGCACTCACAGATGCCGGCCCGTGCCGCCCTGGGGCCCCGGGGGCCCCTCGGCCCATCCTGGAGCCTGCCCCTGCATGTGCTTCCTCCGAGGCTGCCAGACACCCTAAGACCCGGACCAGGTCACCTTGTCCAGGGATCTCCAGACAGTGTCCCACGGGTGGGAGGCACCCTCCGGGATTCCTTCAGACCCCCACCCAAAAGAGCTGTCGCTGGGTCTCTCACGCACTGTGCTTCCGCCTCAGCTGGCATCACCGCAGCCTTGCCTCCCACCCGCGCGCGCACCCAGGTGTGGAGGCCGGCACGGCTGCGGGAGACGGGGCTCAGCCCGCGACCCTCCTGAACCTTCTGAACATGAACAGGTACCCAGGGGCTTAAGGGGCCTCGGAGCTGGAGAGACCCCCGCCTGGGCATCGACATAGACACGGGGACACGGCTCACACTTGGGTTTCCACGTCTTCACATCACTTGGCCTGGAGGAGCTAATCTCCCAACCGCCTCTGTGACTCCCGGGTAGCAGAAAACAGAGTATCTGAGCGTGCAGCGAGGGGACGGCATTCACACGGGGCCATCGAGTCCACTTTGTGGCTGCCCTCACATTGGAGGACAAGTGGTTCTGAGTGACCCGCAGACACCAAGACTTCTAGAAAGAAGAGAGCTCATCCCACTGCTCTGCCAGAGGCGTCCAGGCTGCTGGCGCCTCCTGCTGACCAGCGCCACCGCTCCCGCTGCTCTGATGGCATCTGTCTCTGGTCAAATAATTCCCGAGCATCACTGAAAGCAAGTGTTTTTCTAGAGACAATCATGAGACAACACAACAGTCGCATGTCTATGTCCAGCCCTAACCTGGACCCTCCCAGGGCCCAGACTCCCTGCCCTAGGGTCCTGAGGGGTGTGAGCCCCTGCATCCGGCATGGGGACTTCTGTTGTCTCCAGGTTATCCTGCAGCCTTGAGGGGGTGTGGCCTCTCCTTTTTAATCACAGGAGGGCCACGCTGGAAGCATTCCAGGCATGCAGAGACCCAGCCCCAACGGCACTTCCCCCTACTCTGAAAAGCCAAGGCACTCTGCCAAGCCTCAATCTAACTGCTGAAACAGCTCAGAACCGGAACTTTCCAACTTCCCTCTGGTGTCTCTGGGAATCCTTTCTTGGTAGGAAAGTAAGCGATCCAAGGACAAAAGGCTCCCCTGGAACGGGAGGAGGGGCCAGGGTGCCCCGACAGAATCAGGGACCCAAGGGCTCTGCCAGGAAAGCTGCCCTCCCTCCAGGGCTTCCAAAGGTGTCTCTGCTCCTTGATGTCTTTTGACAGGTGTGATCCAAGGGGACTTTGCGTTTTAAGAAGTGCTCACCGAGCCCTCAGGAAGGGCAGGGGAGTCGGCACCTGCAGCCACAGCCATGCTGAGGCATCAGTGCAGGCAGGAGGGTGCTGGGCGAGACGCTGAGTCTGGCGATGGCTTGCAGATTCTCCAGGGCTACTCAGAGCACCAGGCACCTCAGCGCGGCTGCAGCACCTCCTGTCCCGCCCAGCCCGACCTGTGCCGGCTGGGGGCTTCGCCCGGGCACAGGCGCCCTGAGGACAGCCACCACCTCGCCCTCTCCGCTCCCACCCCCCCCCGTGAGCCATCTGGGAGCGGTGTGGAGAGGCAGTGCCCACCCCACGTCAGGTTCCAATGAAATAAACCTCACTGCCTGGAGGAGCCTGGATGTTTGACTTAAGTCAGGGTTTCTTCTCTCCTGTGCCGCGGTTTTCTGCCACATGTTTTGATAACTGGTTGGACAGCTTCTAGCTCTAGAAGCCACTCCCTTCACCCTCCGGGGCTGTTTTGTTTCTGGAAGACGAGGGGCAGCGCTCGTAACAACACACGTCTCCAGGCCACTGGATGTCCAGTGCAGAACGGGTCTGACTACCGAAACCTGCTGTCCATTCCCTTTGCCCGACCAAGCTTCTTCCACCCTGACCCCCATGATCCCCCCACACCTATGTCCTCGGCTGTGTGACTTGTGGCCCAAAGCTGAGCAGCTGGGACTTCTCATCAAAATCGAATTCCATCATCCTTACTTAGAAAGGGTATAATGCATACATTTGATTTTTTGAAAGAAAAAAAACATCTCTAGACAGAGACGATTTTCACTTTTAAAACCAGCAATCTACCTCTGGGAAGGTGCTCAGTGACCTACAGCCCACCTGAACCTGGAGGTGGTCTCAGCCCCGGGAAGTCAGTCACCACCAGGTTCCCGGATGTCAGGGTGGACCCAGGTAGAGCCTCCCTACCCTCCTGCTGTAGAGTCTGAGGGGTGGAGGTCAGGAGACCCCAGACCTGTCAGCCAGCAGGTCGACCCCCAGATCCGTAGCACTGCGTCCTCTGGCTGATCCTCACGCAGTCACTGCCCTTTGCCAACGTTCTAAGCACAAAATGTTACTTTAAAATGCCAAAGTCGAGCTCAAGCTCCCTAGCCTTCTAAACCTGGCTGTGGTTTCCAAATGGCAAGGGCCACCAGGTAAAGGCAGAGGGGAGGGAAGGCCCACTCACCTGGGAGAGAAGTCGGCTTGGCACATGGGGCAGCTCCGCAGGGTCGGCGTCCCCTCCAAGGACGGCTGCTCCTCGGCGCTGGAGGTCCCGCGGGGCTCACGCGCGGGGTGGTGTTGGGGGGACACCGGGCAGGAGCGGACCCGGCCCCTGCCTCGCTCGGGGACGGGCGGGAAGGGTGTCCAGGAGAAGGTCTTGGTTCCCACCGTGAAGCTCTCCGGTGGCGCCTGCTCGGGGCTGCGCATGGGCTCCTGCAAGACCGAGTCGTCGGATCGCGCCGGCCGCGCC